ATTGTACAATAGAAGTCCAGTTTCAGAGCTCTGCAACTCAACTTCAATAGGTAGATTCCTTCATCAATTCTTCAAAACTTTGATATCACTGTGATGCTCTCATTGCCCTGGTTCTAGTCGCAACACTTACTTTCATCTGGAAACTCGTTTTCACCATGAATTTTCAAATCCCTTTTCAAAACTTTCTTTCCAAATTGCTTAAGCTACAATTTATATAAATTTGTCGTGAGGGTGTGGTTGTCTTCGTCTTGAAGAGACGAAGCGAATGACATAGGTCTGAGCTTCTAATTTTACAGTTTGAGAGACCTGCAATTCGTGATGGCTGGAGGTTGAAAATGACCAACCTGTCATCTTCTAACCAATGAAGGCACGCCATCTGTATTTTTCAAATTCTGATTTTATTATTGATTATGTACATTATTCATTAAAGACCATGATATGCACAGCACGCCAGATCCCTTGTATTTGATTACTAACGCGTTTTGACTCTCATCCAATGGTCCACATCTTTTACTTTTATTTTATTTTTCTGATTTTTATATTTTAATTGTTTTAAATTTCAAAAAATCATAGAAAATACATTTTTAGTCCAAAAAATCTGAAAAAATTATGAAAAATATTTTTGATTATTTTCTTTCTGATTTTTATTTTTTCACAATTTCATTTTGTGATTTGGTATTTTTTATAAATTTTACACTTATTTGATTTGTTTAAAATATTTAAAAATACTTTTATACATTTTTAAATTCTGAATAAATTATGGAATGATACAATGATATTGTGACAAATATTGATGACCTTATTTTATTTTTGTTTCTGACTTTACTATTTTTATTACTATTTTTGTTTATTTTACCCATTTATTTTAATTTTTAAATATAGTTTCTGACTTTTAAAAATTCCCAAAAATTTTATAAAATTACTTGTCCTCTTTTTTAATTTTTCTATGGTCTTATTTTTCATTTCTTGATTAATTTGAATATAATTGATATTTTCCTCATTATTTTCCATTTTTAAAAAATATTTTTAAACCTTTTAATGTGTATATTAATTATATTATTAATTTGTGATTATTTTCTGCTGTCTTGGGTTGATTTTTTGATCATGGCTTTATTAACATCATTAGATCCATGGTGTTGAGTTTAACTCCACAAAAAATGGATGAATGATTTTAATAATAGTTTGATTAAATATTAATTCAAATGTGGTTTCTCTTTTTACCCTAATTCCTCTCCATCCCATCCCCTTCTCATTGCACTAAGTGTTGTTGGAGCATGATCTCTATATCATGTTTCAAAATAAATGGTGCATAGATTTCTATTGACCGACCTCAAAATAGGTGCGACTTCTATATAAGTCCACTTATGATTGCTTAACATACTAAATTTTATCCCGATTCGAATAAATTATCATTCGTGGGCCAAACTTATGATTGCAAGCCCAAGTATGTTAATTTGATCTCTTTGATCCAATAACCTTGAGATTAATTGTGTGGAGGCTTTGGTTCTACCAATCCTCTAATGGATCTACAACACTTTTGGTCAACGCGGATCACTTAAACATCGTTGATCATTAAATGGTACTTATGAGAATTCCAAATGGATGATATACTTGACAAAAAGCAAATGCAACTTGTTGTGTGAAGGCTTTGGTTCTACCAATACTCTAATGAGTTCTAAATGCAAGTTTCAAGATGGTCATCCAACTAACCACTAATTATTGACTTGTTTATTTTATGCCTTTATTCTTTTGTGCTTTATGTACTATTTATTTTTTAGCATTTTTCATTTCATGCCATTTTCATCTTTACTCATTTGAGCATTTATCTTCTTGCCATTTTTACTTTGCTCACTTGAGCCTTTTCTTTTTCTTTTCCTAAGATACTTAATAATCAACTTAAACCCTAAAAAACTTTTAATGGTATTTAGACTATTTGGTTACTATCCTTGGCATTATGGAGCATGAGACTTTTTCTTGGACTTAGGATTAGAAACCTTGGCCTATCTTGGAGACCTTGTGATCTTATCTAATTATTTTGTCTGGAGTTCTTGAGGTTTACCTCAAGACATTGGGTTGTTTGTTTGTTTTTGTGTGTAGGTTTTTGTGATTACATCCTTTGTTTGTAATCTGGAATTCACTCGTATACAACCGTTACTCTGCCCAATTTTTGTGAAGACTTAATACACTTGAAGAGGTCTAGTATCTTTGCTTGCTTGGATTCAATCCAAAGAATGAGAATTCTATCTTGGCTCATAATGCCAAGTTTTGGCTTCGTGTTGGTTAGATGGTTCTTATCCTTAGCTTTTACCTTATGCTTTAGGATAGTCTCTTCTTCTCCTCCCATCTTCTTTAATTTCAAAAATCTTCTCCCTCCTTTTTAAACTCTTCTTGTTTTGAAACTTAAACTACTTTCATAATAAACTTGGACTTACGTCCATGCATTTTCAAAACATTTTCATAAATAAACTTCAATCAATTTAATAATACTTTGACATTTTTTTGTGAGAAGACTAAAAGTCAATCAATGTCATTTCAAACTATTTTGCCACTTTGGCTTTTATTTTAAAACTTTTCTTAAAAGGTTAGACTCTTGTCAATCCTTGTAGTGATACAAACAACTATACTTCTACAATATGTAGTGAAGTGAGATATTTTCCACTTGGGTGTTGAGTGAGGCATTGTTGATTTTAAAATCCAAGCCATATCCTCCACTTTGAGATGATGCAAATTCTCCTTTCTCATGATTATGGGTAGTAAGTATGTTTTCCACACGGACGATGATGATGATGTCTTATCTCTTAAAATCAACCAACACACTTGTGTTTCAAACTTTTAAAAGAGGAACTACGTGTACCCTGATCCCCTATTGCACGAAAGGTGGCACGTAGGCACTAAAGGTTCGCAACCGCGGCGGGTGCAAAAATCATAAAAAATATATTTCTTTTCTCACCTTGACCATCCATTTTATATACAACACATTTTATATAGCCAAAATATACAGATTTTTCAAAGAGATTCCTGCGGAGTACCGTAGATGTTTAGGGTGCTAATACCTTCCCTTTGCTACCTTGTTGCACAACTCTAGATAAGCGGCATCCTGGGATAACTCTTGCCTCAATTCATCAATAAAGAGAAACTGTGGTGTGGACAAGAGGTGGAGCTCAGCTGCAGGGGTCTCAAAACAACGTGAGAGGGAATTAGTCACTACGTTGGACTTCTCGGGTTTGTATTGAATCTCGTAATGATAGCTTAACAATTTGGAGAGATAAAATTGTTGCTCCGGGGTTTGAATAACCTATGTCAACAAATCTTTCAAACTGCGATGATCAGTTTGGATGATAAAAAAGGTGCCCAGGAGGTATTGTCTTCAACGCTTGACAACACAAGTAATGGCATGTAACTCTCTAATATAAGTGGAGGCCTTGGCAAGTCTTGGACAAAATAGTTTGTTGAAATAGGCAATAGGATGCGCTCCTTGAAGTAGAAATGCACCCATGGCATGTCTCGACGCGTCTGTCTGAACTACAAATGGAATGGTGAAATATGGTAATGATAGAACGGGAGTTGTGGCAAGAGCAGTCTTCAAAGAGTTAAATGCTTGTTGAGCCCTAGGGGACCATTCAAAAACACTCTTTTTCAAGAGCTCTGTGAGGGGTTGTGCCAAACTCGCATAATTTCATACAAAGTGACGATAAAAACCTGATAAGCCCAAGAACCCATACAAGCCCTTTACTGTTTTAGGTGTAGGCCACTCCAACACCACTTGTATCTTGCTAGGGTCTAGCGCAACTGTATCATTGGCAACGATATTGACCCAAGTAGGCAATTTGAGTTTGACAAAAAGAACACTTGGTGGCCTTAAAATGAAATTTAAGAGTGTCAAGTATTGTGAATATCTCAGAAAACTGGTCAAAATGAGCTTCCATGGAAGGACTGAATACCAATATATCAGCAAAGAAGATGATAACAGTCTTATGGAGTAGGGAGCGAAAAATATCATTCATGGTGGCCTGAAAAGTCGAAGGTGCATTACACAATCCGAAAAGCATCACACGGTACTCGTAATGTCCGTTGTGTGTGCGAAAGGCTATCTTCAGTATGTCCTGAGGAGCCACCTGAATTTGATGAAAACCCGAAGTAAGGTCCAGCTTGGATAATATACGAGCGTGTCTAAGCTCGTCCAACAACTCATCAATGGTAGGCAAAGGGAAGCGATCACGAACTGTGAGGTTATTAAGGGCGCGATAATCCACACACATATGCCATGAGTCGTCTTTCTTCTTCAATAATAAAACTGGGGAAGAGAAGGGACTTGTGCTTGGTTGAATCCACCATGTGTTAAGAAATTTGGACACTTGAGCTTCAATTTCTTGTTTTTGGGAGTGCAGGTAATGATAAGGACAGACATTTATTGGTGAAACATTGGGAATGAGGGGAATAGTGTGATCAGTGTGGCGATTTGGGGGAAATGTGGAGGACTCTGTAAATAGGTTATTGTATTTTGCGAGGAGGGTGTGAAATTGGGGGTTGAGGTTAGTGAGGCCAAGGGAAAGAATTTGGGTTTTAGGTGTGATATTGGATATGTGAAGGGAAAAGTGTTGTGCGGGGTTTTTATATTGAGCCAATTTCTGAAATTGGTGCAGGCCAATGGTAGGAGTGGGTAAATCTCCCCTGGAATTCAATATAGGTATTATTTTGGAAAAATGTCTTGGTTAGAAAGTAGTAATTCATGAGTACTGGACCATGCTGCTTCAGCCATTGTGCCCCAACACCACATCAGCCACACACAAGTCCAATGAGAAAAGGTCCACATGGAACATTTGGCTTTGGATCACTAATGGGACTTGGTGACAAACCTTAGTGCATTTCAGCTCTTGGTTGCTACCCACCAAAGCAGCAAATGGGCTAGTTGATTCATGGACCAGGCCCAGTTTCAATGAGATTTCAGCTTGAATAAAATTGTGAGTACTACCTCCATCAACCAAAACACGGACAGGTTGTTACCCGATATACCCAACAACCCGAAAAGTATCAGCTGCGTGAGCACCAGAGAGGGCGTGTAAACTCAATTGGACAACATGAGTAGCATCTTCAGACTCGCCGGCACCCCCTGGGTCAAGAAGAGCCACTGCATTTTCCAGATCACCTATCAAGGGAAAATCATCATCACTTTCAGCAAGCATGAGAAAAAGACGAGCACCACATTTATGATTTCATGATCATTTTTGGTCACAATTGAAACAAAGACCCTTTTCACGCCTTTCATCCATCTTGGGCCCCGAGAGGTGACGAAATTGTGGCTTTCCCGGAGGTGTAGGTAGAATTCCAGGGCCAGGCTTGGTGAAATTTGTAGATGACAGCGAATCGGCGGTCCCTTTGAATGGTGGTTTGGCGTTCGTTGACGGTTTCCACGGACGGTGTCGTGATGTGCGAGCTAGATCTTGCAATTTGTCTTCTTGAAGACGTGCGAGTCCTGCTGCTTGAGAAATAGTGGTGCATTGCTGAGCCACCACCTCACGACGGATCTCTGGTTTGAGACTTGAAACGAAACAACTCAAGAGATCGGCGGCAGAAAGTCTCTCTAATTTGTTGGCAAGAGCTTCAAACTCAGCGAGGTAGGAAGCCACGGTGGTTGACTGTGTGAGCTTGAAGAGGTTACCACGCGGTTCATCGAACGCTGTGGGTGTGAATCATGTCTCCAGTGCAGTGAGGTATTGAGCCCATGAAACGATTTGTCGATTCTGGTACATCGATTGGTACCAAGCAAGAGCTGCACCGTCAAGGTAGAAGGATGCGATAAAGATCCGTTCCTCCTCCGGCGTCCGGTGATAGGTGAAGAACTGAGATTTTAAAAATCCAACCATGAGTGTGGTACCATCGAAACGTGGAACGTCGAGCTTGAGGCGGGGGCGGTTGGAAGATTCAACGGTGAACCGACCAGATGACGCAGTGGAAGCCGGTAAATCCTCAAGCCATTTGCGCATGGCTTCAAACTGAGTTGTGAGAAAAGAAATTTGACGAGCAAATTCCTCCATACGGTCAGGTGGGGTGAGGAGGGCGACTCATTGAAGGTGAGGACACACATTGAAAGCACCAGTGATAAGGTATCAGAATTCGAGGATTCATGGCCTCCTTAAGAAGAAGTATAGAAGGGAATAGAATATGAATTATTTCATTGATAATCTCATAAAGGAAGGTACAAGCTTAAATAAGGATAGCTACTACAATAGCATATGGGAATATAAAGATGCTTAATCGAAAATGGAAAAGATGCTATCAGAAAGATATACAAATCTCAATAGTGTTGAGTCACCAAATCTAAGATAAGAATACTATTTGTAAATGAGATGGTTATGAAATTTTGCTGGATGTCTCTTGGTTCGCTTAGGCCTAGTGTTGTCGTCGGTGGGTTGTGTAATGGGCTGTGTAGTTGGGCCAGCAATAGGATCCGTATCATTATCCCTCATATAGAACAACGTATCAGGATGATCAGTCACTCTTACCTCCGACTCACTAGATTGGCCACATAGGTTAGAGTTCCCACCAACATCACTCCCCTCAAGCACAAGTGCAAACCTGTCTTCCCAAGCACAAGCAAACTGATCTGTGCCTCGACCAAGTGCAAACCTGTCAACATAATCTCCAACCTCCAAGTTAAGCATGTACCCATCCTCCACATAACTTCCTTTAGACCGGAGTTTCCAACCATCATGTCTTCATTTTCACCTTTAAGAAAGGACTCAACTTCCACCAAACCTTCTTCCACCTGAACCTCTTCATATCCGGTTTCCTCACCTTCATGTCCACATTCAATACAAAAATCAACAATTTACACTTTCAATAGCTACCACTAAGTCTCCAATCTGGTTAACAACTTTTTTAATTCAACAAATAAACACATTTCGGATCACATCTTTTCACCTAGAAGTAGAACTGATATAGCAATAACATCTATACTACAATTCATCATAAAATCAATCTAAAGAGTTCAACATTATTACATTTTTAAGGCTGTATTTTAATCCGACTCCTCAAATCAACCCTGAAAAAATGAAAATCCTATCTTTGCTTCACTGAAAATTATTGTATATTCAGCAAATGGCCTCAAAAGGATGAATGGTGATGCTGGTGCTGATGATGCTTCAGTACGTGAACAGATGTAACAATAAACCACACCTGAAAAGGAAAGAAAAAAAAACTAGGTCATACTTTTGAGTAACTAAAATTAATCAATGAAACACTTATGAGTTTAAGTTCTTGCTGATTCTATCCATGGAATCCAATTAAGGAAAAATTAATCAAAAACTTTAAATTTATCTATAGGTTAAATATGTTTTTATTCTTTATAAATATCTTAAATTTTATTTTTAATCTTTATTAAAATCATGTATTTTAGTTTTTATAAAAAATTTATTCATCCAGTTTTAATCTTTTTTATTTTCTAAAATTTTAAAAATTATTTAATTATCCTTATATTTTAAACTTTTGAATAATATTCTCAGTAAGTGTTTAGAATATTATAAAATATTTATTTACTAAATTTTAGAATTTTTTAAAATAAAAAGAATTATATATAAATTTTTTAAATTTCTAAAAATATTGATAAAAACAATGAAAATCTTAACAAAAAAAAATCAAATTTTGAATTTTTTTAAAAAAATTTTATAACATTCTAAATTCTTTTATAAAATAATCATTCAAAAACACACGTGTCTTTAACAATTAGGATTCAAAAATATATTTAACTTTTTATCGACCTAAAACTTAATAGATTGATAAATCAACAAGAAGCCATCAAGATGATAAACTCATTATTAGTACTAAATGATAGAGAAGAAAAACTCACAATGAAAGCAATGAAAAAAGCCAATAAAGCTCCACTTATGACTAAACATGTGGGGGAATAATACCACCGTATATGTACTTGTGCATCTTCTTGTTCACCTTCCTCATCATGCTGCTCATTCTCATTATGATGCTGATGGTCATAATGCTGCTCATGATCTGGGTGCGGCAGAACTTGAGGACGGCTATAAGGCGCTCTTCGTGGCGAAGACTCCCTGGATTCTTGAACTTTTTCCTTTGTTGGCGACAATGACGCTTGTTGTCGTAACATACGCTTTACTGGAGATTCGGCTGCAGGAGTGAATTGCATCGTCGATAAAGATGATGATGCTGGGTCGCGAAGGCGTAGTGGAGAGTCGAGTGGAGAAAGTGTTCGCGTCGATGGTGATGTCGATGAAGACGATGCATGTTCTTGTACTGGAACCCGTAGCGGAGTGAGTGCAGAAACTAGTTGCTTCAACTGCGGTGGTTGTTCTTCGGATTTCGCAGCTGCTTTGCCTTTGTCATTTGGATCCATAGTGGTTTCTAACTCACAGGCAATCACAATTTACAATAGCACTGATGCAACTCAACGGTTTGTTGGAGGGAAGAAAGTTGGTAAAATATATTGATATTGCTAACTGACAAACGGTTTTATTTTATTCATAGTTAGTTAGTTAGTTTAACCAGTTGCATAACTGACTAACGGTTTTCTAACTAACTGAGAATAACTGATTTTAAATTTAAATTTTATTTGTGTTTATAAATATTGAATTTAACTAATTTGTGAAGTTTATCGAAGTTATCTTTCATTGTAATTCTTTAACAGCAGCATCAACACTTCTAATGATTATATACGAAATTGTCTACCACTAACATTTATGATTATGTTTAATTTATTTATCTTTTTATTATATTAACACTTAGTATTAATGTGTGAGTGTCCGGATTGTATTTCAGATATATAACTTAGTGTGATTCATTCTGCCGATATGTTATTATATTTGGGCTTTGCAAAAACAAAAGAAGATAATACATTCAATGATTAGACTAATTTTCCAATATATCAAATGTTATTATATATATGAAATTACACAGGCTTCACACTGTTTAAACATAAATGCATAACATAAGCAAAGAAACAAGCACACAAATGAAAACATATATACTGATCAATTAGGCAGACATGCATCCAATTCCATGTCTTGAAGTAGGAAAAATAAGGAACAAACCGCTGCAAACAATTCCAACCATCATTGGAAAACTCTCCATAATTTGATCCATCTCTCTTTCATGTCCAGGAAACAAACAATTAGTAACCCTATAATCCGAAAAAGCAATAGCCACAAACACCATAACCGACATAACCGCATGCACAAAATCATGAAACCCAACCTTATACTTGTCATCTTTAGGAACCGAAACAGCGAGTCCGGGTTTAAAAACAGACAACCCTTTCGGAGTAACGAAACCGTAGTAAATGTTACCGTCAGCGCCATGAAAACTGTCTGTAAAGTGAAAGAAGAAACAAGAGAGTGCACACATGATTAAGAGGGAAAGGATCATGATGGTGTGAATGTGAGTGCATTGGCCATTTCTGTAGATTGATGGAAGGACCATTTCGAATGTGATTAGTGTTCCGGTTGGAAGGAAGTTTCCGAGTAGGGAAGTTTTTGAGAGGGTTTTTTGAACACCTTTTGCCATTATGGCGCGGCGTTTCTTTCCGGGTTCCGGTGGATCAGAAGGATGGGCTGTGACGGCGGAACCGACTTCTTGTGGTGGTGGTATTGCATTGTATACTTTGATTCCAATTTCTGGTTGAGTTTGTTCCATATTTGATTGTTTATGAAGAACATGTGTGTAAGTGATTCAATAGTTATGGTTATGAATGGATTTGAAAGTTGGTTTGTATATATAGTGGAAAGTACATCCCCATTAGTTTCAAATTCTTGTGAGCGGTTATATATTGACGGTACACCAATTATCACTTTGATTTGTTTCAAGTCCTCCTTTCTTTCCTTATCATATCTAACTTTTTAAAACTCTATATATCTGAACATGTTTTCCGTATCTTACTTTTGTGGCACAATTATTTGAAGTTACAGTACTTTAGTTGCAAATCTGATACACGGTTAAACAATGACTCTACCTCAATATGATTTTCATGATAATCATAATAGTAATATTTGTTGGTATACAAAGTGATGATGAATAAAAGAATATATTAAGAGAGCAATAAGATTGACGGGAGTAAAAATAATAAGAGAAATAAATGTTATTTTTATATATGTGACATTTACAACTAATCTATTTATACACACAAAAAAATGTCACATAGATCCTAATAGAATAGACTTAATAACTAAATTATCAAAAACAATTAGAAATATTAAAATACTCTTTAATATCATCCCTTAATTTAGGATTTCTAATTAAAACTAACTACACCAATTACACCCCCTAAGCGAAAAAATTGATCCGTCTTGACTGCCTTTGTCATAATATCTGTCAGCTGTTTCTAGATACTACAGTGAACAACTTCTAGTTCTCCGTTTTGGACTTGACTTCTGAGAAAATGATATTTTGTCTCAATATGTTTGTTTCTCCCATGTAGCATCAGGTTCTTGGCAAGATTCACTACTAAAAATAAGACATTTGGTTAAAAGATTTTACATCAGGTTTCAAGATATATGATGTGAAAAATATTTGTCAAATGATTTTACATCAGATATTTATTTTCACTGACGTGAAAAATAACACGGTGGCAATTTAGTAAATAAAATGAAATTTTATTATAAGAGATTTCACATTGGGCCTAGATTTGCACTGATGTAAAAAGTGCCCTTAGGGAAAAAGTTACGCGGTGGCAGTTTCGTAATTATAATGAAGTTTTGTTATAACGGATTTCATATTGGGCCTGAATTTTAACCCGATGTAAAATGTTGCATTTATTTTAAAAAATAATGATTATTTTAATTTGTGGTTCATAGTTAAGAATATTTTTTTGCAATAACCAAGTATTGAAAAAAAATTCGCAAATAACTATGTTTCGGAGAAAATTACGCAAATAACCATGTTTCAGAAAACCCCACAAGGGAGGAGTCATCTCAATTGGCGCCTAGACCTTATTTTAAAGGGGCTGCGCCATCTCACTTGGCGCCTAAGTGTTAAATTTGTGTCCTAAGCCAAGTGAGATGGCGCCTTAGTGTAATGGGGAGGCGATTTTTCGCGTTTTTTATTTTAAATGTGGTATGTTACGTAAACGATATAGGATCACAAAAATTTGACTTTTTATTTACACAATATGATTACACAAAACAATTGCATAAAAAATACAAAATAATATGCGGTCCCCCGAAACCCGGTAATGACCCGCGGTTCCGCATCCCCGTCCTCACCTTTCCCGTGGTGGATTTCGTCGTGTTTCCTGTTGTGGCAGGGTCGATGGCCCAACAAAGTCAGTGCGTTCCGGATCCATGAAATCTGTCAGATCTTCATATCTAGAAGATCCGCTTTGGTATAGTCGGTTACCCATACCTTCAAAGTTTGGTCGTGTTGATGGTGGGTAGGGTTCCATGGTTGGTATATAACACTGGTCGTCTGAGTACGGGGGGGTAGAAAGGAAATGAATCTTGGGGTGTTTGGTATTGAGAATGTTGGGTGCTTTGATGATGTGGTGTTTGATGGTAAGTTGGGTCGGTTGGTTCATAATCTTCGGAAAATCCCAGATCAGGGCTAAGGTTAGATGCTGAGGGGGCCATATTGGGATATGTAGAATACTGGAATTATGTGTGGGGCATGCGGGTGTATTAGTATTGTGATTGAAATGGTGGTTGGATGTGAGGCATATGGGGTATTAAGGTGGTGATTGTGGTTGGTTGTGAGGCATGTGGGTGTAATTATATTGTTTGGGTGTTTGTGGTTCTGTTTTGTCGGGGAGGTTGGTGGGAGGTTGATGTGTGTTGGGTTTGTTGTTGGGGAAATGAGGGGTGTGCCCATTGTGTTCGTGGGTCAACTAAATACCTTGGATGAGACACGTGCATTTCTGGGGTACTAACCGATATGTACTGTTGTACCCCAAAATTTTCCCTCCCATATTTCTCAATACATTTCAAGTGAGATCCTCAAATTGCTCAAGGAAGTCCAAGGGTTGACCAGACAAACTCTCTCCTAAGGCAGTCTACCTCAAATTAGCGTTTCAGTTTGCATCAAGGTACTTGAGTCCAAGGGATCCCAAATGTCCACCATTGTCCTAATATGTCCATAAGATCATCCATGTCAAGTTTCAAGCCCTAGAGAGAAAGTTTGCTTAGTCAATTGCTCAAAGGCCTGAAAATCGATTGTGCTAGGGCAAAAGTCAACTGTGGCCCACATACAGTCAAACTTCAAGATTTTTAGTCAACATCCTCATTTTGAATTATTATTCATTATTTGATCAAGGGTTGATCATGATTCCTCAAGGATTGCTCATAATTCATCAAAACCCAAAAGTTGCTAAATTAGGGTTTTGCAAGAAAAGTCAACTCAACTTTGACCAAGCATAACTTTATCATACTTTATCAAGAATGACCCATCCAAAGCTCATTTTGAAGAGGATGTAATTCCTTACAATTCATCTTCATATCCCAAGTTCAAAATATGCACTCACAAGAAGATATAAATTTGGACATTATAGGTCATTTTGAAAAGTCAACAAAAACACCTTTTTTGTCAAAGTTTCATACATAAACATGGAAGACTCAATTGATATGAGACCAAAAGGGTAGCTTAGAGGGCATCTTGAACTTTCTAAAAAGTCCAATAACACATATCTAGGGTCAAAATTGAAGTAGTTATGCATTGGTGAAGTTGACCCTTTTTGCAAAATTGCCAAAAAGTCAAATATGGCCAAAATTGCAATTTTTGTCAAATGGGCCCAACTTTTTGTGCTTGTATTGAGTTGGTAACATGATCCACGACCCATAATCCTTCCCACTTGCCTTTGTTTTATTTTTGTCATTTATTTTTATTTTTATTTCAATTAATTCAATTTAAATCAAAATAAAATCATGAAAATATCAAAACTAATCAAGGCTTGAGATTTTGTGCATGTTTAGGTCTCTTATACAGCTGGGAAGAGAATAAAGTCGTGAAAGGCTTGTTTGAACAGAAAAAGATTGAATTTTTCTTGTTTTGGAAAGATTTGATGCAAGGGTGAATCAATGATCAAATCTTCATAATTGCAAGGATTTGATGCAAACTTGTAACCCTAATGAACTCTATGATATATATTGAATAAATCCAAAGCAAAAGAAAGAGGATTGGAGGCGTGAGAAGCTGGAAAAAAACTTGCAAAAACTCAAGAAAAGTGGTGAATCAAATTCCAATTTCCAAGCCTCTTCAAGCCGTTCCAAGCACACCATTCACTTGCTGGACATCTAAGGATTCTATCTGAATCATTAGCAGGCGTTTTCGTGCCCAAAAACGCACTGTAAGTATCTCACGACATTGATACTTTCTTGAAATAAAACATCACGATTCTGGCATTTTGTAGCACGA